TTTTCAGCCCAGAGGCAATGTGGGCTTTATGCAGTGATGCTCAGCTCCTGCACTGGGCTGTTTTTTTACCTTTTACTTTTTGGATATATTCTTTATTCTCATCAGGTGTCCATATTTTATTGCGTGCATTTATATATTGATTGGAGACAGCACAACTGTAAAAAAGTTGACAGAAGAGATTTAAAAAGTTATATATAGTTCTTGAGAGACATCCTTCAGACTTGCTCTGAAGTCACTGATCCGCGAATCACCTCAACGTACATTTCACATTGCTGTTCATCAGACAGTGCCCAGTGGTGAACAATTCTATCTGTGCCTGCTTAATAGTAGGGAGTTAAGAAGATATCATTTTGGTTCTCTTCTTTTCTTTTTGAATTACCACATTTTTTTTTGTTTTTTTGGGTTCCCCCCCCCCCAAATACATAAGCTTACATAATCTTTCTTCCCCGTACTTTTTGTCAGCGTTTTCATTTCATGTGAAAATATAAGATGCAGCTGTGAGTACTTAGACATCAGGCTATTTCGTTTTGTTTAGTGTCTAGTGCTGGTTCCTACCAACTCCTTTTTTCTTAACAGCTGTCTCCTAAAATAACAATATCCTTTATTCAGCTATTTGCTCATTGTCTGTATGAAAGCTGTTTTTCAATTTCTGTAATAATAGTATGCCTGATGGGTGCCTTCTTAATCTTTACAGCATTATTTTTCAAAAAAATGTTTTCTATTATGTGTAAAATGGGTGAAGATTTCTTTCCGAAGACATTTCATTTGTAAATGCATTTTCTGTTTAGGGTGCTTTTCTTAAGAAGTTGTCTCTGTTCTATTTTCTACCATCAACAGCATAGATTGAAGATGTATTTGTTTGTGTCTTATGTTATCCCTGAAAAGTTAACTACTATAAAAGTGGTTGTGTTTTTTATTTATTTATTTATTTATTTATTTAATTGTTGTTTTGAACAATCTCCAGTCTGCCCACACCTTTCTTGAAAAAAATTATTTCCTAAGTTGAAATGAAACCTGTACCTGTTGCACCTTTTTTTTAGTTGAAGCATTTTAAAGTGTCTGAAGCATTGTAGGTGACAGAAGGAAAAGATGGGAGAGGCAATCTCTTTTAATTCTGTAGATAATTCTGTATTTATCTCCAATAAATAATTGGGGTTTTAATCTGTTTATCTCTAAAAGATGATGTCAGCTACATGAAGAAAGAAGCATCTTATTAGATGGGAGAGTTAAAGGTGTTTTTGAGATCTAAATTTATTTTTTTTCTGGAAGTGAAATATAGATTTGCCATAATTTTGCAGACACCATACAATTGACGATTACTGCTAGGAATGAAGCTTCAATTTTGACTATATCAGTAAAACCTAAGAGATGGATGTAGGTGCCTAACAGCAGGATTTGGGATCTGGATTTTTAAATTTACTTTTCTTGGATAATTTTCAACTTTTCCTTCTACCAATGCTCATTTCCCCATAGTCTCTTAATGCCTTTTTCTATGGGGCCAGAAAGGTTCCCAAACACCTGCCATATCCTTTTCCTTGAGGTATTTCTGGCCCTTGATTGGCAGCAGCTTTTAAAATTGTTTGGCAGTCATGCTGCAAACTTACTGACCAATGCTAAATATCTCTACACTAACTCTGAAGGAGAAGTGTATCATGATTGCTGGACAATCTGTGCTTAAATTGATAGTGACCTAAGACAGACGAGAGCATTCAGTCTGAATACTGGGCCATTTTAAAGATACAGTATGGAGCAGAGAACATGAATGGTCCCTCTTTTTCTTTTCTCCTCTTTGTTACATAAGGCTCATGTATTTACTATCCCAAAGGATGCCTTGGCCACAGGTTCTCATTTTGAGACCATAGGTTTCTGATGTTCAGCCCCAAATGTCAAGAATGCTGTTGGATTATTTTTTCCTTGCTAAATTTCATCTAAATGGAATTAATATTCTTACTTTCCAGTAATACCTTTCACCCCTCCCAATTTATTTTCATCAATATTGTGTTTATACTGACTTTTACAAAGTTCAGATCTGTCCAGTTATTTCAGTTATCAGCAGTATGTTATTCATCAGTTCAACTGTAAGTATATGGTGCAATCAAAACCTTGGAATTTATCCTAAATGTCATGTTGCATCCTTGGGCTCATTCACAGAAATGAATTGAAAACAGATTTAGTTGTGATCATGATTCTTGTTCTTGAATCATAATATAACCCTCAAAAGATCATCTGATCCAACCTTTCATGCATAAGGAAGCGTAGATGGGATTATAAAATACCCTGTGCAATGGCATCTTGAAAGCCTGCAGTGAAGAGGACCCCACCACATCCCAGGATATTGTTGCCTGGAGTGGAGGATTGTTCTCAGTGCAAAAAATTTATTTCCTAAGTTGAAATGAAACCTGTACCTGTTGCACCTTTTCTTCTCACTTTCTTTGTAAAGAGAAAGCTATGCTGTGTTTCTAACATCCTTTAAATATTGAAAGACTCTGATGAGGTTCCCACTGAGTTTCCTCTTCTCCAGGGAGATGAGACCTGAACCCTTCAATCTTTCTTTACAGACCAGTTTCTCCTGCACTTTGGTCATCTTCATGGCTCTGCTTTTGAGCTATCTCCAGTCTGCCCACATCTTTCTTGAATGGGCCAGAACTGAGCACAGCACTCCAGATGTGGCATGACAAGTGCTAAGATTAGGATGACCATGTCTGTTTCTCCACTAATAATGCCCCTGTAGATGCAGCCCAGGATCTGATTTGCCTTTTTTACCCCTACCCAGCTGACTTATGTTCAGCTTGTTGTCCACCAGGACCCCCAGAATGGTGGCTGTGGCTCCCCAGCCACACGGGTCCCAGTTGGTACTGGGCTCTTTGGTTATCCTGACCCAGGTGCGGGAGTTTGCTCTTGCTTTGGTTAGACTTCATGCAGTTCTGTTCTTCCTAGCCTGCTGCATTACTCTCAGCCTGACCAGATCTCTCTGTGAGATGGCTCTCTCTTCTGATGTGTCCACTTCAACACACAGTCTAGCATCATCATCATACCTATGGGGGTGATTTCAATCCCATCGTTCCAGTCATTAAGGAAGATGGTGAAGATGTTAAACAGTGTGGTACCCACTTTTGATCCATGGGGATCATATGATAGACTGCCAACATGAGAAAAAATCCTGTATTATTTTTCAGCCTATACTTCTAGAAGTCCATACCTAGCTGAGTTGGTGCTGTTTTCTTTCTGAATTTTCTTTCAGTTATTGGCTGGACAGAAGTATTGATGTAAGATTGAGATTAAGGAAATGTCATGTGATGTCCCAATAAATCTCTGTAAAGAAAGTGGGTATTTTGATTGGCTGTTGTATTGTCTTACTTTATTTTCAGAACCACATGAGGATGCAAGCTCAAATAATGCCAATTCTTGGGCCAAATCTTTCAGTTGGAAGAGAAATGGGGAGTCCCTCTGCTCTCCTTTCTCTCCCACATGTCCTGTGCGCCGAGGAGGGCCTAGGAGAGGGACTTTAAGGGCCTGCAAAGCTTTTGAACAAGTGGACAAGTGACATCCTCAGAAGCAGTCAGGCACCATGGCAGTGTATGTGGGAGAGATGGTGAGGAGCACTGAAACACTCCAGAGATGCTTCTGCTTTTTGTATGAAGAGGCCTCACAAACAGAATATTGGTTATCTGCTTGTAACTGGGAGGCAGTGCTGCTCATGTGGTAGGTCATTCTGGGGCATGATTTTCCTGTCAATTAAGGGGTGTAAAAAACTAATTCATTCCCTCTCTCCTGCAGAATCATAGAATAGTTTAAGTTGGAAAGATCCTTGAGAGGTCCTCTAATATCACTAAGTCCACCACTAAACCCTGTACATCAGTGCCCCATCCACACATCTTTTAAATACTTTCAGGGATGATGACTCTACCACTTCCTTGGACAGCCTGTTCCTGTTCCTGACAACCCTTCTGGCAAAGAAATTTTTCCTAATATCACATTTAAAATTCCTCTGGTGCAACTTGAGGCCATTTCTCCTTGTCCTGTCACTTGTTACTTGGGTGAAGAGACCAATCCCTGCGTGGCTCCACCTTTCCTTCAGGGAGTTGTGCAGAGTGACAACACCACCCCTGAGCCTCCTTTCTTCTAAACAATCCCTGCTCCCTCAGCTGCTCCTCATCAGATTTGTTCCCCAGACTCAATGCACTTTGAAAAGATATGCAGGAGCCTTCTCTTTTCCCATTGAGCTGCCCCAGCTCTCTCAGGCTCTCCTTACCTGAGGGATACTCTGGTTCTGCAACCATCTAAATGGCCTTGCACTGCGCACTTTCTTCACTATGTCCATCTTCCTTTTGTGCTGGGGGGGGCAGAACTGGACACAGAACTTCCAATGTGATCTCAAGGTCCCTCACTTGACCAGCTGGGGATGCTTTTCCTAATTTCCTGACCCATAAGGATGTAGGTCTTCTTTGCTCTTAGGGTGTATTAGAATTGTTCTTTCATACTTGAAAAGCAGGAAGGCCTGCCCAGTAGTCAGTTTTATGACCAGCTGTTGAGAAAGCTGTTCCATGGAGTTGAAAGCAAATTCTGCTACATGAGCTGATTTTCAAATGCTCTAGGGCTTATGCTCTTTCATCTTGCTGTCAGGACATTCTACACAGCACAGAAAGACGCTCAGCAAGCAGAATATAAGCCCCAGGTGGCAAGGCCTGAAAAATGAGTTAAACATAACTTTATGAAATAGCTCTAATGGCCATGGCAAATAGTACCCTTATGTTTGGTTTTTTTCACTTACTTACTTACTCCTTAATTTTCTTTTTTAAATTTTACTTTTACTTACTGTCAATGAGACAAAATGCAAAGAAAGAGAACCATATATGTGGAATCAGATTGCTTTTCCTGGCAATTAATAAACTTAGAATTCTTCTCTATAACTGAGCCATGCCCACACAGATACATCATCATTACTTATTTTGCATCTTTCCATCACCAATAGGAAATATAAAAGTGCTACTCTATGAATGCCTCTGTTCTCACACACTTCTCTGTGAGTGGAAGTATAAGTCTTCTAACCTTGCTACTTGGGAAGAGTAAAAGGTGCTCTAAAATAAGATAATAAAAAAAAGTAGCAGAATAAAGCATACTAAAATTTTCCATTCTTAAAATTTTTTGCACTTTTTAAAGAGGCAACATCCCGAAGATGATTACTGGGGCCCTTTGAAACACCACTGATGGAATATGGGCATTCTGCAGTTTCAGAGCACCACTGCCAAGTTAAACTTTAGAGAAACTTCACTTACACATGTAACCATTTTGCTTCTGTTAATTTTTTCAAACTAGTATAATACATGGTGTTTCCTCACCATGAAAAGATCACAGCAAGATTTTAGGAGGCTTTTGGAAAAAAAAAATTGACCAGAGGATTTTATAAAATGAACAAAGATTTCACTTTTTATAGATAACCTGTAGCTGCAGCCACTGTAACTCAAGATATAGCCAATCTCTTTTCTGTTTCTCTGTGGTAATTAAGACATGCAGGAAATAAAAAATTCTCAAATCTCATCCTAGTTAAATTACTGCATAGCAGGAAGGTTGTAGTAGAATTTTTAATATATGTTTTAATATAAATAATATTTAATATAAAAAAGAATGGGAAAACTGAGAAAAATTAAGGGGAAAAATAACATGTAGGAGAAAAAAATGTAGTGGACTGTCATAACAAAAGATCTGACAAAAAATTATAAATAATTCTTGCTCGTGAAGTTATGGTTGTGTAAGAATTTGATTTGTCCTAATATGTTGCAGCTTTCTCTGAGCAACCAAGAGCATGATGCCATCATACGGAAATGTGCCTAAATACTGAGCCTTTTCTTCAAAAGCTTTTGAAAAAAGTTTGTGTTAAAGTATTATAAAAACAATTGGGGCTTTACTTGTGAACTGACTGAGTAATCTTAAAATATCATCCTTTAACTCAGTTCTCAGATCAGAGGGACTGACTTAAGATCTGTGCTTGGAAGATATGAAGTGCCCACCATGGAAAAAGCCTTAGAGAGCACCAGCCAAGGAAGGGGTAAACCAGACAATAGCAGGATTTAGATTAAGCTGTCAGCTTACTGCTGACAGCATATGGGAAATAGTTTGATATTAATAACATCAAGCTGAAACACCACCTTCAGCAAACCATGGTCTGCTCTTAGTTTCAGAGTTTAAGTTATAGAATATAGACTGTCTATGGACAAAACCAGATGATTTAGACTTTAAACCTGAGAAGAATTTTCTCCTTCAGTGGCCTCTGATGAATTAAAGGACCGTGGAAGCTCAGTTCTAAGGAAATGCTGATTGCTATAACCTGCATGTTTGCATTTTAAGGAGAAGCCTGAGAGAGTCCATGCCAGACCCATTCTTCCTTATCCGTGAGCTATGGAAAAAAGTGCCACATTGTTTCTAGGTTCAGTTTTCTTCAGTGTTAAGGGAAGATGGACTGATGAAAGTGGGAATAGAGAATTGGTTACAGATTACTATGAATGGACAGGTTTTGGAGATCACAACTTGGATGTAAAAGTCTTTAAAGACTAAATGGTTTCCCTGACACTAAGAACCATGTTTGTGGAAGAAAAATATCACCAAGCATCACCAATTTAATATAGATCATGTGTGTTGTGTTTATATTTTAGTCAGATTAGCCAGAGGACATAGTGAGCATTTATGCTTCCTCCATGCCAATTTTATGCTGTCTTTGAGAAAACACTGATTGCATACAGCATATTATTTGAAAAGACCTTGAACAAATATGAAATAGCAGATTGTGCTAGAAGAGTGCAGTATTTTTAATTCTCTATTAGCAGGCTGAAATTTGGATTTGTAGTGTTCTAAAACTAATGTGTGAGCAGATGCAGGTTAGCAGATGGAGCTGAGGGACAGAGGACACATGTTGGGATATTTGGCAGCTTAAGCCTAGCAATAAAAATATTTATTTATTTATTTATTATCCATGAATATAAAGTTATTTGAAAAAATCTTTGGAAACCCTGTTGCACACAGAGCACTGAAAACCAGGATAACAATACAAGGTTGCACTTAAAAAAAATCTTTATTTCAACATGAACTCTTTTCCTATCTCTAAAAGCCTACTTATCCTGAGTATATAACTAAGGCAGGAAATCCCAAAGAAAATTATATAATAATAATAAAATCAATTGAGTTATTTCAAAGAGCAGTTCTTGCTATTATCTGTCTCTTTCAAGTCTTAGATTCTTTGTGACTCAACCTCGTTTCTCAGCTTCTGATTTGTCTGATTCTTGCCTGACATTCCAATGCATCAGAGTATGCATCAAATACCAATGTTAACTTTAGCTATACTTTATGTAAGAAAGGATCTTTTTGTAGGAGCTGTACAGAAGCTTGGCAGGAGCTCAGACATAATATCCACAGCTCCAAAAAGAGGCTCAGTCTTAATACTGCCAAGTCCTTGAGGCAGAAATATTGTCCTCATTTGTGACCACCCAAGAGGGGCAGAGGCTTCTTCTGTGCTGGAAGTGATGTGAGTTTGCCTCTAGGAGTATTAGTCCATGTCATAGATTGTCTAGGAAGATGAACTTAATGAATATCTAATAAGCTTAATGTTTTCTTATCTGGAGTATGTTTAATGCCATGTACCTGGCCATATGTGGGCACAGAAGTGCAGGAACTGTGGTCTTGCTGTAGTGTTCTTCAATAGTTTCAGTTTATGTTCCTGAATCTTCAGTTAGTTTCTCCCTTGTCCTGATGTCCTCATAACAAACAAACAGACAAACAAACAAACATATAAAACCCCCCCAAAATTCCATATTTTACAGGAAGAGCAAGAGAAAGAAATCTTTTAATTTTTAAAGAATGCACCATCTCTTATTGAATCCTAAAATGAAGAAAAAAGTAATTCTAATTAAAATTAGCTGAGTTACTGAAAATTATGATTTTTTTTTTGTTTGCCTTGTTTTTCATTAATAGTTCTCTCAAACTATGAATCGTTGTGCAGCTCAGGAGGATCTGGTCAGTGCTCAGTGAGCCCACTTTCTGCTCCCTCTAACAGGTAGCCCGGCAGCTTGGTCAAGGATGACCGTCAGAAAGAAGCTACAATTCTCACAATCATGCAAGAAGGACAAGGAGCTGGTGACATATTATAAGACAGAGGACAGCAGCTAAGGACAACAGGCGATGGTCAACATGAGGGAAGTTTGAAAGGAAAGGATGCAACAGTGGGTAGAAGTCTCAGAAGAATTTAGGACCCTTAAGCAGATCCTCTGCAGGTAACACTAAACTAATTAATGCTTAATGTCCTGTATAGTTTATTTGTTATGGTTTCATTTATCGCTTAGCAGTTTTAAAGCATTTAATTAGTTGTTTGCTACATCATTAGACTTCACGTCAAATGACCACCTACAGAAATTAAATATGAGCTTCATTTTACACTTCTGATGCATTAGTAAAAGTGGTGTCACTACAAGGCATGATCTCTTTGCAATGATTACATGTCCTTCAAAAGATAGCTTGAAGTCTCCAAACCTTTGCCAGATACCTTCAGGAGATAAAAGATAAGTTTTAAAAATAGGCACAAAGCTAATTAAGAGTTAAGTGCTGTGGGAGTAAAAGGTCAGTTCTGCCTTCAAAAGTTTAATAGCAGTACACACATGGCTGGTTATTGTGTCTCTAGATCATATGGGTAACCTCAGTCAGTCTGAAGATTAAAATACAGGGGTCCAGTATGGCCAGGTGCCAAGTTTTTGTCTGTGCAGAATGTGTCCTGCACAGACACATGATCCCTGTGTCTGTGAGTGAGCAAGGAGCAGAAGTGCCCCAGGTCTGGGTGACTGCTGCTGCAGCAGCACATGAGGGCTGCTGCTTAGCGAGCTTTGCAACTGCTTGGGTGGCAAAAGAGAAGGCCCAAAATGGGTCACTGGTGAGAACCAGCCACATTTTTGGAAACCAGTACTAAAGTGAATGAGAGTATTCACTGTGGGCATAAAATAGCACATAAAAGGCGCAAAGATAAAATGCAGTAGAAGGTGCAAAACAACACATATGGTTGTTAAGCCTTGGTACCTTTAAAGATGACTGCGAACTCAGTTTTGAAGACAAAGGAGCTTTTTGCAGCTCTGTTTTTCACATGGATTTTACATAAAACATGTCTAAGCCTTATGTTAGTAATATTTAGCACAGACAATATTTAATGTTTACCAGTATTTTGTCTTTTTTAATGAGCAAATTGTATTTTCAGAAAGCAATCTTTTATACAGGATTATAAAAGATTATAAAAATATATCCTGTGTTACAAGATACAGGATTAACATTGACCACATTTTAAGGCAAATTTGTTTAAGTCCTCATGTTTTTATTTTCTTCTTGTTCAGGTTGCCTACTGAATTACAGAATAGGTAGAAAATAAAAGATACCAGGAAAATAGTCCTCTCCAAAGCTTTATTTCTTTTTTTTTGCAAAGGTATTGAAAGGATTCTGCAAAGGCCCTGTCAAGTTCCCAATATATTGTACATAAGTCAATTAATAATTCTTCGTGCCCCCTGTGTTGCTTCTTCATGAACCCTCTGGTGCTCCTCAGGCAGTGGGAAAGGTGACAGTAAGTTCAGTTCAATAAAGTCTACAGCTCTTCTCTTTGCTTCACACTAAGGAAATTGAAAAACGTCTGTCTTTCAGACATGTGTCCTGGTTCCATTTCCTGTTGTCGTAGGATCTGCAGTGAGCACTTTCTATGTGAGTAATTCTGTCTTTTTGTATACTTTTGTTTTTAACATTACTGCTGTTACTATTCATTGTATTATCTCATTGCTGTTTCCAGAAAATTGTTCTTGTCTCAGCTCATGACCTTCACCTTTTATGTCCCCAACTCTCCTCTCTGGCCACATGTGATGCGGTGGGAATTGAAGAGGGGGAAGGGGGAGGGAGAGAGTAGAAGTTTGGTTTGGAAAATCTCAGTAGGAGAACTGAATTGGGAAGTTCTCCATTCCTAAATTATGGCACTTTGCAAAGAAAAACATTATTTTTAAAGG